GCAAATTAAAAGCATTGAGCGGTACATGAGGCGTCTGGAGTTTCATATCAGCAAGGTAAGATTTCAGTGTTTGAGCTGAAGAGGTTTAGTTTGTGAATCATCTGATGATCTATTTATTACATTTTGAAAAATCTCCTTTTTTATTATTTCTTTCTTATACAAGACCAGATATTCACACATTGAGTGGTCCAGCTTTAAAATATTTGGGTAAAACATTTTAAAGTGATCCATGCAGGTCAATGATAATTATAGTTAAATGAGGCACTTTTATACAAAACTAAAAAAAAAGCTTTAAGTTTCATTTAAAATTGCCTTTTAAATTGTTCTTATAAATAAAACCCATTAAAGTGACGTGTTATCAGACTTCAACTTTAATCTTTAACTAATAGAACTGGTCGGTCACTCAGCCGGTTTAATGATCCAAATCCTCACACTGATTCAGGATTCATGAATTTGAGGTAGGGTTGGGCAATATTGGCAAAAAAAATTAATCAGGATTAATTGTGGTATTTAGCCGATAATGATTAATTTGACGATTAATCCCCTGGAGTCCCTGGACACCCTTATGTCCTAGTCACATGACCAATTTAGTGGGAAATATTTACTCTTCATAAAAATCTGTTCTAAATTGTGTCAAAATTACAGACTTCAGGCTATACATCAAATTTTAAATTGTGTTGATAGATAAATTACAGAACATTTTTTTAATGTTCGTCATATTTGAAGCGGAGAGGAGCACCGCTTCAAAGGGTGACCAAGGAAATATCCAGTCAGTCCGCCTGGTGGCATTAATCATATTAATCGTCAAGTGCCAAAAAATAATCGATTAATGTTTCTCTGACGATTAATTGCACACGATACGATTATGCCCAACCCTAATTTGAGGTCTTAAATAACCCTGATTCTACATGCCCTCACAAACTCACCAGAAAAACAGATGAATTCTGGGAAACGCTGTGGACTCAGCTGAGTCATATGCACACATTAGCATGAGATAAATTTAACAGAAACTAAGGATTTGTGCAACTTATATTTGATTTGCACATTTTACTTTTTGTTGTATTTATTTAGCTTCATTTGTAAGCTTCTTTGTATTTATTGTTGTGTTTAAATGTAAAATAAACATATCTGAATATTGTGAATGTAGCTTTTTCCATATATTTTAGCTTTTTGGCTAGCTAAGCTAAATGTCTGCTATCTCATATTTCAATTTCTGAACACAAAAAAACTACTTGGTTATATTTCCAAAATGTGCAACTTTTTTAACTTCTTACTGAAATAAACTATTAGTTTTATTTGCTAAAAGTGAACTTTTTTCTTGTTAGTTAATTGTTAGATTTGAACCAAACCTGCAATATTGTTTTACAATTTTTTTCTCATTTTTGCTGTGCAGCTATTGTTTCTTCTTATCAGTTCATATCTTAATGTTTATAAGAAATCTCCAGCTCCTAAGGGAGAAGGCAAACAAGAAAACATCTCATCACACGATTTTGTTTAATCTCTTTCTTTACCTCCTTTTGTCTTCTTGCTTCTTGCCAGTTGGGGACATTAATCTCCCACATTTTCAATTTGGTCCCACAAGCTTTAAAGACTCTTTGACTTTCCATCCATAGCCCCCTTTGTAGTCCCGTCTAGATCTCCCTCGCTGTGCATCAAATCAGACATGACGGCAGGTAATCTCAATGCCCAAACATCGGCGCTGATCTGAAGGTAACCATGGTTGCCTGAAGACGGCCTTTGAAGTCCTCAGGGGAAGTGAAGGAAATCATGTATTGGGGGATGTTAACCCTTGATTTTCACATATGTTCACTCAGACAATAAAAACCTCACCTCCTGACTAGAGGCAGATGTTTAAAATGGTTCTATAATGGAGAAAAAAAGCTGTTCACTTCAGAAAGGTTTGACTGAAAATGATTTTAAAGTTGAAAAACTGAGAAAAAAACTGAAAAAAAAAATAAGATCTCGTAACTGGTGGAAAATTAAGAAATGTTTTTCAATTCTGAGAATATTGACGCAACGTATGGGGCACCTAGTGTAAAATAAGCTGTTAGAAAATGTCACTAACACATTTTCATTATTTAGCTCACTTTCTGAGTGTAAAATCCTGGTTAACTTTAACATTTTGCTAATTTTTACTAAATGTTAAATCTAAATGTTAAATATTGTCTTAGTGTTCAGTTCTAAATCTAAATGTGTAAATCTAAATGTAAGTATTAAATCTTGAATTTCGCAGCTAAACGGTAGAGCTTACATTTTAAAAAAATAGGAATGAAATAGTGTTGGTGTGCAGCTTTTGTTGCTGCGTCATCGTCCTGCGACAAAAGCAAACGCGAGCGCTGCTAAAGATAAAATCTGAATTTAAAAAGGAAACATTGAAAACAATATGGATGGTACCTGTGGTCTGGCAGCTTGAAGTGCAGTGAACATCCGGCCACAACTGCAAGTTTGATGTCTTGTAGGGAAGCGTTAGCATTGTTAGCAGTGTTTTTGGTATTAGCAGCATTCGTAGCATTAGCAGCATATGTAGCATTAGCAGTGTTAGCAGCATTAGCAGTATTGGCTGCATTTAAAGCATTAGCAGGGTTTGCAGCACTAATAACATTAGCAGCACTGACAGCATCAGCGTTAGCAGCATTAGCGGTTGCTATTGTCTCAGGATGATGATGTCAGAACAAAAAGAGCGCACCAACAGAAAAGGCTGCGTTCCATTCTGAAATACTTAAATGTGAACTTCACCATTTAGCCTTTAAGATTTAATTTTTACATTTAGATTTAGGATTTAGATTTAACATTAGAAAAATGAGCAAAAAATGTCAGAAAGTGAGCTAAATAATGAAAACATGTTGAAAGTGTTTCAGAGTTTATTTTACACCTGGCACCCCCATAGCATCGAGTTCTGTTTTGATGTTAAAACCAAAAGAAAACATGAGCTGAGAGGCTGCTGGTTCTGTCTTGTAGAGTTGTCACAGGAGGCTGTTAAATAAACACTCCCAAAGCTTTTCTGACATCCAACATTACATTGAAGTTCCTCTGTTTTTTGTGCAAAAATAGATTTGAATGCATCAGTGAAGAAGAAATACGAGGAAGCGTTTGGTTTATCTTGTCAACGAGGTGAAACGTCTAAACCTCAATAAGTCTATTTAAATTCAACTCTCATCCAGTTATTATTCAGAAATTGTCCTATTTTAGTTGATTTTTTTTTTCTCCTGAGGAGAAGATACGTGTCAAATTCAGAAGGTGCAGGACATGAAGCTAGCACATGTTCTTCCCTTCATCCCAGAGTAAAAAAAAAAAAGACAATCAGTCATACATTGTGTTGCAGCTGTGAGCTACAGCAGCGTTGTTTGTCAGCGTTCGGGCTCAGGCGTGTTTCTTTGTGCYGGACAGCTGACTGAACAATCATCCATCAGCAGGTTGTTAGTTTGTGACTCACGTCTGCTCGTTCTTTTGTTCTGAGCGGTAATTGGCTCATAGCGAGGAGGCAGGTGGTGCAGAACAACCTCCACGATGTCCTGCGCCGGGCAGGAGCCGTCTCTGATGTGTCTGCAGGACAGCAGGGCATCATTAACGAGATGAGTGACACAGCTGCTGGGCACCTCGTGTGTGTGTGCGTGTGTGCGTGCGTGCGTGCGTGCGTGTGTGTGTGTGTGCACCACATGCCAAATTCAGTTCGGAATGAGTGTGAATACTTTTTGCATGTGATTATTCCTTTATAAAAAGCTTTTTCTGCTTCCTCCCCCTTCCTTCATTGCTTATCTTGCCACAACCACACACATATTTGTTATTCTATCCTCATGGGGACTTTGCATTGACTTCCATTCATTTATGTGCCATGTCTATAGCCTAACCCTGACCACTTACTCTAACCCTAACCTCACAGGTACATGCCTGACCCCAAACCTAACCTAAACTTAATTCACACCTTAGTCCTAACATGATCCCCTGACCCACCAACAGTATTTATCCCGTTGGGGACCAGGCTTATGTCCCCATAAGGAATAGTTGGTTCTCACAAGGCCAGGAAAATGGTCAAAAATTGTCCCCACATGGTAACAAAAACACACACACACACACAAGTAGTTTTTTTCTATCCTCGTGCATTGACTTCCATTCATTTTCTGGTCATTTCTACAGCCTAATTAAGACCCCTTAACCTAAAAATAACCACCTTGACCCTAAATCAGGCCTAAACTCTATTCACACCTTGGTCCTAAACCTAAGCCTCTACCCAAAATCAGCATCCACACTCATGAGGAGCAATGGGTCCCCACAAGGCTATGTTTTTCTGAAAAATCATCCCCATTGTGTAGCAAAAACATGGCCACATCTACACACACTGTTGATGTCCAGGGGCTGAGAGATTATAAACAGATTAAAACAGGCGGGCCACACCAAACAACATCAAACATCCAGTCTCCTCTGTGGGGAATCTGTGTGTGTGTGTGTGTGTGTGTGTGTGTGTGTGTGTGTGTG